ACCTTCCTGAAAATCAGTTAATGTTTCTTTGCTCTAAAGGAAATAATGAGAAACATAGATAAAGATTTATGCACAAATAGGTGAATAACAAAATAAGAAGCAAATGTCCAACAATAACGGAATGGCTAAGCAAACTACGCAACATCCACTCCATCAACTTTTATGGAGCCATTAAAATGAGTTCTTGTGTCAACTCGTAAGCAAAACTACAATATGCAAAATTGTATGTACAAGATCACATGTTTAACGAAAACATTAGGAAAAGATTAATAAATATAAAATGCTAACAGTTGTTTCTATTTATGTACTTTCCAAATTTTCTAAAATAAGGTTGTATTCACTCCTCTTTATTAAAAGTACATGTTACATCAGTCACTGTCCTGAAACTTAGAAAAGCAAAGTTCAACACAACACAATCTTTGCATCTTCATTTTTATATTGTAACTTTTAAGTGTTGTCAAGTCAGTTCCGACGCATAGAGACTCTGTATAGGGTTTCCTGAGGAGCTGGTGAGTTTGAACTGCCAGCCTTGCTGTTCAAACTGACCTTTTGGTCCAGTGCATTATCCTACAGTACCACATCAGGACTTCGTATTATAAGTAAACAATAGGAAAGAAAAACAACTATTTTTCTTTGGTTGTTGTTGTTAAATGCCATCAAGTTGGTTGCGACTCTTTATAGAGATTCTGAGGAATGGCTGGGTTTGAACCACTGACCTTGTGGTCCAGTACATTATCCAGCAGTGCCACACCAGGACTCCATATTGAAATTAGGCATCTTTATATAAGCCTTCCTTTGCAGTCATTTAAGGACATTTGACAATATAGTGGTGAAATGGTCAGCTACTAACTGAAAAGTCAGTGGTTCGAACCCAACAGCTATTCTGTGGGAGAAGGATGTGGCAGTCTTACAGTCTAAGAAGCCCTAGTGGGCAGTTCAGCTTTGTCCTGTAGAGTCGCTATGAGTCTGAATCAACTTGATGGCAATGAGCTTTGTTGTCCATTTGACATTTCTGAATACAAGAAAGTGAAAGAAAATATTTTTCTTGTCAACATATATACATTTGGGGACTAAAGCAGCTCTCTTTGACATTTGGTTAGGTCCTGCCTCCATTGCAGTAGGACCTGAAGATGAATTTTTTTTGCTCGTGAATGTGCCTAGAAATTGTGATGATTTCTGTGAGACCTCTTACCTCCATGCTCTTAAAATGAATTAGAGAGACCCCGGAGCAGACAGGTTGTATAAGGTTAATTGCTGTTTCTGTATAGATATCAATTTCCTTTACAGAGAGATGCCCAGTGGAATTTGCCCCTTGTCAGTTTGTCTAAAAACTAGTTAAATGTGTGGGTGTGGGGGAGTGGAAGTTCCAATTTGGTTGTCAACCTAGTTGACCCTTCCGTTTGCTTTGGGGGGTGGGGGTGGGAAACAGCCCAGCTTCAGGTCCTTTCGATTACTAAATGTTTTTTTTGTAGTTTTTGTTGTTTTAATTTTTTAAATGAGTAATTTAGAGATAAGATTTCTAGTACATAATAGGTACTCAATTTTGAGTACTATTCTCTTTTACCTTCTCTCTTAGAAAGCAGTAGGCATGTTGTTGTTGTTGTTAAGTGCCGTGGAGTCGGTTCCAACTCATAGTGACCCTGCACAGGGTTTCCGAGGCTGTTAATCTTTACGGGAGCAGAACGCCTCATCTTTCTCCCGCGGAACCGCTGGTAGTTTCAAACTGCTGACCTTACAGTTCACAGCCCGATTCGTAACCACTACGCTACCAGAGCTCCTTAGCAGTAGGCATAGCAGCAAGCCATTACTTTCAACACGGATTAAATAATAAAATGATACTCAAGCTATGTTGAGAGTAACGAGGACAATGTCAGAAAATCATTTGTTCGTGAAGCAGTTAAAGCTTTAATAATGCAGAAAGTGATGGTGAAAATGAATAATGGCTTTTACTTCTAAGTGAGTGCAAAATAACCATTAATGTCAGCAAAGAAAGCTATAACAAAGTTCATTTTGAAGCTCAGATTCACACATCAGGAGGGAAGAGTACAGGGTAATGAAGATATATAAATGACTCGAATCAAGGAACTCTGTTTTGTCTTGACCAAATGGCTCAGAAGCTGTACTGATGTAGGTGTCATAAAGTTCAGTCCAACAACAGACTGAAACATTGCCTGGTCTGATGGTGTCCTCACAATAATTGCTATATTTAAGCTTGTTGTAGTAGCTAATTGCCAATCCACCTCTTTGAGGGTCCTCTTTTTTGCTGACTCTCTACTTTATCAAACATAATTTCCTTTTCCAGGACCCGGTCCCGCCTAATTAAAAACATGTCCAAAGTATCTAAGACCATGTCTCTCCATCCTTGCATCTAAGAAACGTTCTGGCTGTGCTCATTCCAACATAGATTTATTCATTCTTCTGATACTTCATGGTATATTCAGTATTCTTCTCCATGTTTTCTTACTCATTGTCCAGGTTTCACATGCATATGAAGTGATTGAAAATACTGCGGCTTGGGTCAGGTGCCCCCTAGTTCTCCAAGTGATATCTGTGTCTTTTAATCCTTTATTTAAGAGGTCTTTTGTAGCAGATTTGACCAATATAATACCTCCTTTGATGTCTTGACTACTGCTTCCATAGAAGTTGATTGTGAATCCAAGTAAAATGAAATCCTTGAGCACTTCAGTCTTTTCTGCATTTATTAAGATGTTGCTTATTGGTCTCATTGTGAGAAATTTTGTTTTAAGTAGATGTATAACCTGGGATAAGTTACTTAGCATCACGATGGTGTAAAATAAGGTATCATGTAAGGCTTTTGTGAAATTTAATTAGGTCAGACTTATAAAAATGTTTTCGAGCCAGAAAATTGCAACAACACTATGTAGTATTACTATTGCACTTAAATATTTACTTGTAGACTCTTTCTACCTCCTAAAGCCACTCGGATTAGTCAGATACCTGCTGCCCCTACCTTGATTTCTTCCTATCCCTGCTGTGTTAGATTATGATTTTTTTCATTAATTAAATGAAATTTTTCATATGTTAGTTACAGTTTAGAACTGACCTGCTTAAGCCCACAGAATGGCTTTCTCTGGCCTCAAATTATAGTGATCTCTACAGCAATGGGTTTGGACTTGTTTTTTTGTTATTTCATATTTTTATATGCATAAGAAGCTCCCTAAGATCCTTAAGGGTAGAGGGATTGGAGTTGGAATATTATTCCATTTTCCTGAATACTTTTATATCTATGATAGAAAAAACCAATTGTTTAATGCGCACTTACTCTATGCTAAGCACTGTGCTATACATTATTTCATTTAATCTTCACAATAAGTGCATTTAGTACCATTATCAGTATTAAAGACAAGAAGGCTATAATCTGAGTAATTTAGCAGTTTAGCCATTGTCACATACCAAGTAAGTGCCCAAGTCAGGATTTCAACCCAGAATTCCATTCTCAGGCCCTTGCTATTTGTTGTTGTTGTTAAATGCTGTTGAGTTGGTTCTGATTCATAGTGACCCTGTATCGGGTTTCCAAGGAGTGGCTGGTGGGTTTGAAACACCAACCTTGCAGTTAGCAGTTCTGTGCTTATCCTATAATGCCATGCCTTTCTATGTACTGATTATTTACCTTCTATGACTTCTAGAAGGAGCTCTGGTAGCATAGTGGTTACGAATCGGGCTGTGAACTGCAAGGTCAGCAGTTCGAAACCACCAGCTGTTCTGCAGGAGAAAGATGAGGCTTTCTGCTCCCGTAAAGATTTACAGCCTTGGAAACCCTGTGCAGGGTCGCTATGAGTCGGAACCGACTCCACAGCACATAACAACAACAACAACAACATGAGTTCTAGAGGTCTATGAGGAAGACCCCCAGTGAGATGGATTGGCACATTGGCAGCATCCATGAGCTCAAACATAGCAACAATTGTGAGATTGGCCCAGGACCGGGCAGTGTTTCGTTCTGTTGTGCATTGGGTCGCTATGAGTTGGCACCAACTCGATGATACCTAACAACAACAACAATGAGTTCTAGTGTGACGCTGGATAAGCACTGAACTGTAGGAAATGCACTGGACTGCTAACCACAAGATCAGAGATTCAAAACCCACTTGCCACTCTAAGAAACCTTATACAGAGTTGTTATGATTCAAAACCACCTCAGCACTTAACAGCAACAATGATGTTTCCATGAATTTTGAATGCCTGTGTTTGTGTTCTATCTCTACACTTTCCTTCTTGGTGTATCTGTACAGAGTAGAGTAGAATATGGGATCAATAATAGAGATGACTAAGGTGTGATTCTTATGCTTATTTGTTGTGGTGGTGTGTGTCATCAGTAGGTTCCAACTCATCAGGGCTCTGTATAGGGTTTCCGAGGAGTGACTAATGGTTTTGAATCACCAGCCTTGTGGTTAGGAGTCCAGTGCTTTTCCAACAGAGGCACACCAATGCTCTTATGTTTATGGAATTATTGTAATCCACTGGAAGAATGATGACAAACAAATTGCTGTATTCCAGGGGAGAATTTCAGGAATCCATAAGAGCTACAGCATTAGTCTCACCCTCTATAAAATGGGAGTAGTACTCTACCTTATAAGACTGTGGTTATGATAACGTGAAATGCCTCTTCAGTTAGTGAGCCAATACTCTGACACTTACAGAGTGCTTGATATATGGAATCTAAATCTTACTAGATAGTCCCAAGACAGTAATAGGATCTAAGGGTTGAAAAGCAACTTGAAAATAGATTTTGAGAGCATTGAATGCTAGTCCAGGGAGTTTGGACCTTCTGCTTGATAGAAAAATTTATGCCAACGTCACATTCTGAAAAAAAAAAAAAAAAATTAAAGCTGGTGCTATTTTACATTATCTTTCAAAATTTATGTTGAGATGGAATTGGTGGAAGGATTTGGAACCAGTTTAAAGGGGTTTTCTATTTAATGTACTATAAGGAAAGATAATATTTTCAAGTCTGATGCCTTTTATTTTTTCCTCCACAGTAATTAGTGAATGCCAAAGGCAGCAACTGGAGTCTGTGAGCTACTCCTCTCGCTACGCTCTGGGCCTCTTTTATGAAGCTGGCTCGAAGATTGGTGTCCCTTGGGCTGGCCAGTACATCACCAGTAATCCCTGCATACGCTTCATCTCCATTGATAATAAGAAGCGCAATATAGGTCAGTACCCCTATTATGTCCCTTAAATACAGTAACAATGGTGGGTGTAGATCATGAAAAATGCTGTTTAATTGAGTGTTGCCATTCTGAAAGGAGTAAGTATTTAACTCCAAGCCACGAGGGATAAAACTTAATGTCACATTTGGCCAATAATAAAATACACAGTGAAACCAGCAACGTTTTTCTGAAAATCATTTGCCACATGGTTTGTATTACTGAGTTCATGAAATGATTTCAAAATGGTCCAAGCTCTGCTTTAATATCGATCTATCTATATGTAAATGTTATTTCTCATCATTCTTTTGTTGGTGGAGTTTGTTTTTAGTTTTTGTTTTTAATTTGATAAATGTTGCTTTGCTTCCCAGTCTAGAAATAAAAAGTACTTTTTACTATGTTCTGAAAAAATTTTAACTTGAAACCAATGATATTTATGTATGTTTCATCTGGAAGATAAGTAAAATTAAAGTGATAGATGAAATGTTTTGTAAGAGCTTTATTAGAATACAGTGAGGTTTATACCTATCTTTCTTGTCGAAGGTATTAAAATTAGATGTGAATTGCAAGGAAAACATAGCTCAGATTAATTTCAAGCATAAAGGTGAAAGTGGATTCTTTTTGTATGGTTTTAGTGATCGCCAAAATACTGTTTTACGTGAAATAAGCTGTAATGATCCAAAATGACTAAACTTGTGTAAATAATTGTCATTTCAATTTGTTATGGTGTTTTATGGGATGGCGATGGTTTCATCAAGCCATTAGTTAGGAGTCTTGCTTGATAAAATCACCAATTAAGGTCTCCTGACTTGCCAGAATTATATAATGATAGATAGAACTGGGCTGGAGTATGGTTTTTATATCAAAGCACATGATCTTAGAAAAATGTTTCTTGTATAACTTAAAACCCCCTAAGGGCTGGACTGTTTATGTTAACATGATACCATATATATGTACAATCAGCAGTTCATGAAATGCTCTGCAACGGCAATGGGCTAACCATTATTTTTAACTCTGCAATTGCTTTGTTCTGAGAAAAGGAAAATAAACCTTGGTCTTCTCATGTTGCATGCCATGAATTGGACACTATCTTTTGTAATTGCTTTTAAAAGATATGATATCTGTTAGAGTGTGCTCATCTGTCTGTAGCACAAAACAGCAATCTAAACTTGTTTAAACAGTAAGAACATTTGTTATGTTACCTAAGTAGAAAAGGCTGAATAGACCCCAGGGTGTAGTTTACTCAGGAACTGAGTAATTTTCAAAGTAATTACTATGTGTACTCTTCTGTACTCTGTTACTCTTGGTGTTGACATCACTCTCAGAGTACTGATGACCAGAGTGAAATTAGTGTTGGAGTTACACCTAGACCCAACAACATATTTCAGAAGAAAAGTCCCCTGCCAAGAATCAAGAACACTGTCCAGAAGCACCTCAGCTGACTTCTCTTTGTATCTCATTGAATGGATTTGGGTCACTCGACCATTCCTAAACCAATCACTGACAAGTGGACTATAACTCACTCGATCACTTAGAGGATACAAGATCTACTCCTGGAAGGAACTAGAACCTGAATAAAGAGGTATTTGTTAGGAAGAAAGAAATACATAATGAATGCTGGGTTGACAACCCATAGTGCCAATTGTCTTCAAGTAGAATCAGATCTCATGTGGAAAGTGATATTTTAAAGCTGGTGCCAGAAAAGAAGAATCAGATATACTCAAAATTACCTTTGAAAATCCCTTAAAACTACACAATACTTTGTAGAATAACATATTGACTTTTAATGTCATTTTTCCAACATTTAGTAGATCTCAGTTTCTTTGGGTGAGGCCAGATGGAATAGTTGGTTTGTATTTATGGATCAAAGTGATATTCTCTACTATTAAAAGCATGTAGGGAGGAAAGAAATATATCTCTTAACATACAAAATGAAGGCATGTAAATGGAGTGGGATGGTGGGTGAGCACAACTACATTGTGATACAATAGCAGTTTGTGAAGTTATTGCAGCTAGTAGGTTTGAATCTCTGACCTTGCAGTTAGTAGTCCAGTGCTTATCCTACAGTGTAACACCAGGAACCTTTTTATATACTTGTTGTTGTTGAGTGCTGTGGAGTCAGTTCTGACTCATAGCGACCCTATATGGAGATTCCGAGGCTTTAAATCTTTGCAGGAACAGAAAGTCTCGTCTTTATTCTGTGGACCAGCTGGTGGGCTTGAACCTCAAACCTTGTGATTCACAGTCCAGTGCGTATTATATAGATATATATAATTCAAACTGGATTCCAAAGAGGACGTGGAACTAGGGATAGCATTGCTGATGTCAGATGTATCTTGACTGATAGCAGAGAGTGCTAGAAAGATACTTGTTTGTGCTTCACTGACTATGCAAAGATTTTGGACTATGTGAATCGTGACAAACTGTGCATACATAACATTATGAAGGATGGATATTCTATAACACTTAATTGTGCCCATATAGACCAAGAGGCAGAACAGAACAAAGGGGTACTGAGTGGTTCAAAACTAGGAAAGGTGTGCACTAAGGTTGTATTATTGCACCATACTAATTCAATTTATATGCTGAGCCAACAATCTGAGAATCAGGATAATATAAAGAGGAACGTGGCATCAGGATTGAAGGAAGATTAATTAACATTTGATATGCAGATGACACATCCTACAGAAATAATTCCCCAAGAGAAATCCCAACTTCGATGTCTTCTTTTCTGCTTCCTACCTGGGCAGGAGTTGTAGGCCAGGTAAAGGGGCAGAAAGTATTCTGAAGGTATCAGGAGGGAAGTATCTGAGATTGTGTAGAGATGGAAGAGCTCTTGTAGCACATAAAGTAAAATCTTAATGGGATTATAACTTGAGACAATTTTGGTTAAAATAAGGTCTTTATCATTAATGTTTATCATGTATTTTTAATGATTGATATAAGATTGGCCTAGTAAGAAGAATTTAGACTCAAACTTAATTCAAGTTCTGTCTCTGAAACTTTTTAGTGATGTGTTATTACACAGCCCTTGTGTTTGTATTGCTAGTTATTGCTACAAACACATTCAAACATTTTAATGGCCTGAGCATTACAGAAATATATTTCTTGCTCATATAAAGTCCAAATAAGTGTATATGATTGGCAGGTATCTGTGATGGTTAAGGTTGTGTCTCAACTTGGCGAGGCCTTGATTTTCAGTGGTTTGGAAGTTATGTAATGATGTACTCACTGTGTTGTGATCTGATGTGACAAGTCAGTCAGTTGCAAAGGGACTTTTCTCATGTTGTGACTTGCATTAGACATATAGATATATACATAGATAGATATTCTGGATTCTGATACTTTTGGGTTTTGTTGGCCTCTGAAACCTCTGTGTCAGCAACCTGCCTACCTTGGCTTTGTCAGCCCCCAGAGTTTCATGAGTTAGGAGAAGCCTCCAGTCAATGCCTGACCCAGGGTCTTAGGACTTCCAGCCTCTATAACCATGTGAGCCATTCCTTTAGGATTTTATATACACAAACACACACTTCACTGGATTTGTTTCTTTAGAGAACTCAGCCTACAACAGTAACTTTCATTAAAAAAAGTAATTCACAGATTCAGACTCTTATAATCTTTTAACTCTGCCAACTACATCAAGTAGCTTATAAAACTTACTGTATTCTTACACACCAAATCTGTGACTGGAAAAGAGAATTAAGGAGATACACTAGAGATGTTTTAGTCAGGACCTAGAATAATACACGTCTGGTTCATACTCTTGAAGAGAACACAGTCATATGTCCACACCTATGTGGAAGGGAAACTGGAAATGTAGTCTAGCTACATATGTTGGAAGAAGAAAATTGGGTTCAGTGAGCATCTAAGTCTCAAGCAAAACACTTAGCATATGTCTTTCTGGTAAAACAAACAGATTATACCTGCATGGATGATAAATAGGTTTCGGGACAAGCGTGACTTGTTCAACATATAGTTGTTATCTAGAGCAAAACAAAGAATGATTACAAAGATTCTGCCAGCAGTTAGCAATGTCTGCCATACAGAAGGCATAGAAAGTCAGCAGTGCCATCAGTGAGACATGTTTACCTGCCAAAAAGGTCTCCAATTTCCTCCTCAGATCTTAAATTTGAAAGAAAACTATCCTGAAGTCAGACTTCCTGGGTTCAACTCAGTTCTACAACTTAATAACCATACGATGTCACACAAATAACTTAAACTGTTTCCTCATCTATAAATTAAGGAAAACAACACCAAGACCAAAGCCTTATTGAGGATTAAACTAAGCATATAAAGAAATGTACATGATACACAGCAAATATCAAGTAGTGTCTAAGGAGCTCTGATAGCATAGAGGTTACAAGTCAGGCTGCTAACTTCAAGGTCAGCAGTTTGAAACTACCAGTTATTCCATGGGAGAAAGATGAGGCTTTCTGCTCCCATAAAGATTTACAGCCTCGGAAACCCTATAGAGGGTCGCTATGAGTCAGAACCAACTCCAAAGCACATCACCGTGCACCACCACCAAGGTATCCATTAGTATAAGTATTACGTCAGTCACTGATTCAGAAATTATATTCTCCAAAGCAATGAACATAAAAGTTTAACTTAGAAGAATACAACTCTTTGTTAAGATAAGAGTCAGGCTAGATTAAATAAGTAAAATTATAAGTAACCCTGAAAATAATTTTTCTGAATTTTAGGTTTTTTTGTTTTTGTTTTTTTTTAGTTCCTGCTGTAAGAGTGTTAGTTTTTCTTGTTGTTAGGTGCCATAGAGTTGATTCTGACTCATAGACACACTATGCACCACCGTACCAAACACTGCCTGGTCCTGGGCCAACCTCACAATTGTTGCCACGCTTGAGCCTGTTGATGCTGCCACTTTGCCAATCCATCTCGCTGGGGGTCTTCCTCTTTATCTCTGACCCTCCGCCTTACCAAACAGGATATCCTTCTCCAATGACTGGTCCCTCCTGACAATATGTCCAAAGTATGAGACATGAAGT